CATCTTTTATGGGTTAATATAAATTTTTCTCTGGTATTTTACATAAAGCTGTGTGAGCCACTGCGCCTAGCCTTTTCCTACAGAAATTGCTCTCTTAGAAACTTATTTTTTCTTTTTAAAAATTTCTTTACTTTTTAACAAAGTTCAGCACTTTGGGAGCCTGAGGCGGGTGGATCACCTAAGGTCAGAGTTTACTTTGGACTAGCATGGGAGAGCAAATCTCCATGGGCCTTGGAGTAGTGTAGGTTTATGATCAATTTCTGCTTCGACACTAGCTTACTGTGTAGGGTAACCTTTAGCTCCGTGTTAATTTTTTTCATCTCTAAAATGGGCATGTCACCTAGCTCAAAACATCGTCTCAAGAATACAGTCTTCAAAACACCTAAAATTTTACATATATCAATAAAATGAAAAGTTTTAAAAGAGGCTAGGTATGGTGGCTTATACCTGTAATCCCAGCACTTTGAGAGGCCGAGGCAGGAGAATCACTTGAGGCCAGGAGTTCAAGACCAGCTTGGGCAACATAGCAAGACCTGGGCCCTACAAAAAAAAAAAAAATTTGTTTTAAATGAACAAGCCAGTAAAAAACTGGGAAAATATATGAACGTGCTAGTCACAGAAGAGAATAGCCTTTTATAGAGTCAAACATGAGAAAGGACGTCTAGCCTCACTGACGATCAAAGAAATGCAAATCAAAGCAACAATGCGATATAATTTTTCAGATATCAGATTGGCAGAGAGTAAGAAGACTCATAATACCTACGTTGGCAAGGGTTTAGGGAAGCAGGCAGTCTCACACACTGGGGCGTGACATTGACTTTGTATATGTGCAGGGTAGTTTAGCCTTGCTTGTTAAAACTATAAATGTTCATACTCTTTATTCCAGAAGTTGCTTTCTTAGAAACTTAATTTTTCTTTTTATATTTATTTTTCTTTTTAAAAATTTATTAACAACCCGGGCGCGGTGGCTCACGCCTGTAATCCCAGCACTTTGGGAGGCCGAGGTGGGTGGATCACGAGGTCAAGAAATCAAGACCATCCTGGTCAACACGGTGAAACCCCGTCTCTACTAAAAATACAAAAATTAGCTGGGCATGGTGGCGCATCCCAGCTACTCAGGAGGCTGAGGCAGGAGAATTGCCTGAACCCAGGAGGCGGAGGTTTCGGTGAGCCGAGATCGCGCCATTGCACTCCAGCCTGGGTAACGAGAGCAAAACTCCGCCTCAGAAAAAAAAAAAAAAAAATTATTAACGAAGTTTAGCTTTCTGATTCAGGCAACTTATTTTTTATACATACCTGTACGAGCGGGCAAAAACGTATGTATTGTAATACCATATCAAAGTGGCAACCACTCAAATGTCCACTAGTAGAGAATTTGTTATGATACAGACATGAAATGTAATACTATGCAGAAAATGAAAGGAATGAGGAAGCATTCTTTTAATGTGAAAAGGTGTTCACAGGCCAGGTGCAGTGGCTCATGCCTGTAATCCTAGCACTTTGGGAGGCCAAGGCAGGTAGATTGCTTGCAGTCAGGGTTTTGAGACCAGGCTGGGAAACCCTGTCTCTATGCAAAATACAAAAATTAGTGGGGCATGGTGGTGGGTGCCTGTAGTCCAGCTACTCAGGAGGCTGAGGTGGGAGGATCGCTTGAACCTGGAAGGTGGAGGTTGCAGTGAGCCGAGATAGCACCACTGCACTCCAGCCTGGGCAACAGAGTGAGACTCTGTCTCAGAAACAAAAAACCAAGCAAAGCAAACGAAACTTCACAGAGGCTAGGACAAGGAGCACTAGACACTCATTAGCAACATGATGAGTGAGTTCTCTTTTCCGATCTGTTAGGACGAAGCAAGTAGGGGTTGCCAGAATTCATTGATTCATTCAACAGACATTGCTGAGCAGCTGCTGTGAGTCAGGCACTGTGGTAGGTGCTGGATTTATGTAAACAGATAACTACTCACAATATTATAGGGGATGCTGTGATAGGAGACAGCAACTTCCATATGTCGTGGTAAGGATAAAAGAGGGATCATTGGCAGCATTGAAACAGGAGCTCCGAAAGACCAGGGACTTTTTTTTCTCCATAACATTTTGGAACAGTGCTTGGCACATAATAGTTGTTTGATGTATGAAATTTGCTAAATGAATGAACAAATGAATCTGTGGAGTCAGAGTCCCAACAGAAGGTGTACTTGTCTTAGGATAATTTGAGGAGGGAGACAGAGTTATGTGTGGGCTGTAGGAGAATCACAGGGACCAGGCAGGATCCCAGGCTGGTGGAGAGGCATAGACACAACCCCTAGGCTGGCAGGGAGGAGAGGACTGAGGTCACTGGAACTGGGAGGGGACCAGACTCTCCCTCCCTCTGATTTCCTGCCAAATCTGCACAGGACAGATTTGGCAGGACAGAGAACCCCAAACAGTCCACCCAGGTTGCCTAGAGCATACCTCAAGATGTCTTTCGCAGACTCCCGATACCTTACAATGGTATTGGGCACCAAACTCCATGAAGAACCCTGTGAGATAAAGAGTATCATCCCCATTTTACAGCTGAAAACTAAAAAATTAAAAACATTTTATAGACGAAACAGAAGAGTTAGGTAACCTACCCAAAGTTATGGCCAGTAAGATGCTATTAACCACTGTGCTAAGAAATGCCATCATACTGTTGGAAATTGAAGTCCAGGATGGGCCACAGTGATGGTAAAGATAGCAGTGTGTCCTGGTGGCTGAGAGCCCCGCTTTAGGAGTCCACATACAGACTGGATTGTTGGAAGGGGTGGGGCAAATTACTTCTCTGGGCCTCAGTTTCTCCATCTGTACAAAGAGATAATACCCAACTTTTGGGAATTTTTGTGAGGATTAAATGAGACAACAATTATAGAATGTTTGATACTTCATCGACTCCATTAAATAATAAGTGATATCAAAAGAAGACCTTAACTCTGGCTGGCTCGGTGCAGTGGCTCAGGCCTGTAATCCCAGCACTTTGGGAGGTTGAGGCCTGAGGATCACTTGAGCCCAGGAGTTCAAGAGCAGCCTGGGCAATATAGTGAGACCTCATCTCTACAAAAAAAAATTTTTAAATAAAGTGGAGGATCGCTTGAGTCCAGGAGGTTGAAGCTTCAATGAGCCACAGTCATACCACTGTATTCCCATCCTACCTGGGTGACAGAGTGAGATCCTGCCTAAAAAAAAAAAGACCTGGCCAGATGCAGCCTGTAATCCCAGAACTTTGGGAGGCCAAGGTGGGTGGATCATGAGGTCAGGAGATTGAGACCATCCTGGATGACACAGTGAAACCTCATCTCTACTAAAAATACAAAAAATTAGCTGGGTGTGGTGCCATGCACCTGTAGTCCCAGCTACTCAGGAGGCTGAGGGAGGAGAATCACTTGAACCCAGGAGGCAGAGGTTGCAGTGAGCTGAGACTGCACCACTGTACACCAGCCTGGAGACAGAGGGAGACTTCATCTCAAAAAGAAAAAAAAAAAAAAAAAGACTTTAACTCACATAAACCATGCAAATATTAAACCTTTGGAAATATGCCAGAATACAAAGTGTTTCCTCTTGGGTTGGGGAGTCTGGTTGTTCAATTTTTGTTCACTGCTTGTATTTTTCCATTTTTGATCAGGACCACATGACTTTGGGAGTCAGGAAAGCCAGGTGATACCTCTCTCTCTTCCTCGTTTGCTTTTATCAGGGCCTCCTGTGTCCCTGCCTCTGGGCTCTGGTCCGAGTGGCCAGTGTGTGCAGCAGTGGCAGACCTTGTACTCCATGTAGGATTCAGTGACTTGAGGCCACCCTTCCTGCAAACACCACCTCCCTCCTGAGGGTGGGGAGAATGTGGAGAGACAGCCTGAGGCAACGATTTGCATCCCCGTAACTTTCAGACTTTGATCCTAGCTTGACTTGTTTTCCAATTGGAGTTCTAATTGCTCAGCCTCCTGGAGCAGACTCTCCTTGCTATGAGATGATAGGTTGTGTCAATATTAATAATCGTCCTGCAAAATGAGTACCATCCACATTTTATAGGTAAGAGAACTGAGGCTCAAAGAAATTACATCGATTTGGCTAAAATTGGCACGGTGCAGTGACTCACACCTGTAATCCTAGCACGAGGCAGATGGATCACTTGAGGTCAGGAGTTTGAGACCAGCTTGGTTAGCATGGCGAAATCCTGTCTCTACTAAAGATATAAAAATTAGGCATGGTGGTGCACATCTGTAATCCCAGGTACGTGGGAGGCTGAGAAAAGAGAATCACTTGAATCCAGGAGGCAGAGGTTGCAGTGACTCGAGACTGCGCCACTACACTCCAGCCTGGGTGACAGAGCAAGACACTGTCTCCAAAAAAAACAAAAAAACGGCTAAAATTCTACATTTGGTAATTGGCAGAGCTGTGGCCAATTTGAGCCCTTTGCCTTCAAAGGCTGTTCTTTCTGAAGGTTTCGGTATGTTTTTCAGAGAAAAAAGTTTTAGTTTTCTAATAATATAAACAATGCCAGATTACCATTGGAAAATATGTAAAGTAGGAGAAACACGTCCACGAAGCCATAGCCAGTGCCCCTGCTTCCTGTAGGATTGTGTGCTTAGTTTTTTCCAACATTATAGTACACGACTTGTTCCATAGTGTTAGTTCTGTGAAGCTTTAAATTCAGCGGGTGCCTAACCATCCTCAGCGGATGCACCATCATTTACTTAAACAATTCCCTATTGTCAAGCCTTCCAGCTGCCTCTGGTTCTTTATTGTCAGCAGCGAGCTGCGAAGAACATGGTTTTATTCAGAAAGCTTTTTCTGTCTGTCCTGTTTCCTTAAGATAGTTTCCCAGAAGTGGAATTACTGGTTCAAAGGCTATTAGCATTTTAGCCCTCTTCCTACATCTTGCCAAAGTATTCCCCCAAAGGGTGTCACCGTCTACTTTTCCTGCCAGCAGCTCGTGACAGTATTTTGAGGACAGCTTCCTATTCTAACTGGTTCTTTTTCTTCTCTCTGCAAAGCCTCATAAGGAGAATGGCTCAGAGTGTGGTGGAAGTCATGGAGGACTCGAAGGGGAAGGCACAGGAACACCTCCTGGCAAACGGAGGTAGGTGGGGCGGCCCTCTGATGTGGAGTGCGATCTCCTGGCTCTGTCCAAAACAGAGTCGCCTTGGTTGTGGCCACACAGTAATCACTGAGTTGACCCAGGCCTCAGTGGATGCTCTCGGTTGACACATTGGGCAGAGCTCTGCACTCACTTTTTTTTCTTTGACAGAGTCTTGCTCTGTCGTCCAGGCTGGAGTGCAGTGGCGCAATCTCAGCTCACTGCAACCTCTGCCTCCTGGGTTCAAGCCATTCTCCTGCCTCAGCCTCTCGAGTAGCTGGGACTGCAGCCGCACACTGTCCTGCCTGGCTCATTTTTTGTATTTTAGTAGAGACAGTGTCTCACTGTGTTTCCCAGGCTGGTCTCAAACTCCTGAGCTCAGGCAACGCGCCTGCCTCAGCCTCTCAAAGTGCTAGGATTACAGGCGTGAGCCACCGCACCTGGGCGGTGAAAATTATTATTTTCTGAGACATGGTCTTGCCCAGGCTGGAGTGCAGTGATATGATCATAGCTCACTGCACCCTCAACCTCCCAGGCTCAAGGGGTCCTCCCACCTCAGCCTCTCGCTCACCACCACTCCTGGCTAATATTTTTTATTTTTTGTAGAGACAGCATCTTGCTATGTTACCCAGGCTGGTCTTGAACTCCTGGGCTCAAGGAATCCTCCTTCCTTGGCCTCCCAATGTGCTGGGATTCCAGGTGTGAGCCACTGTTCCTGGCTGGTGCACCACTTTAGCTCATCTGCATGGCTAGGTTTGGGAGCTGCGCCCCTTCATCAGTTACTGGCTCTGCAGTCCTGCCTCTACTGTAGCCTGCTGCTGAACTCCTCAGTGCATTGGAGATGTACACGAGGTCCAGGGAGCTCAGCCGGGCTCCTACTATTTGCCCTCCACCCTCTCCAGAGTCACCACTCTCCCACCTAGATAGTTCTGCCCTCCTCTCCTCACCTCCTCTGATTTACCCCTTTCCCCAAAGGAGGTGTAAAAAATGCCTTCCTGTACTGAGGAAGGCCTCCAGCCAGTCTTCAGCTGCCATCAGGTCAATAAGAACAGAAGCTGTACCCTGAAGGCTCCCTGCATGGAGTCACACTGAGAATGTGGGCCTCCCCTGAGCTGATAGGACCAGCCTTTAGATTCCAATGATGTTTTGGCCCATTAACTGTGTGTGTACTATTTCAGTGCATTTAAAATGTGCAAGACAAAACCTTTGAGACTTTGGAAACTTTAGAATGAAATGTTGCCAGGACGAGGTGGCTCCAGCACTTTAGGAGGCCAGGATGAGCAGATCACAAGATCAGGAGATTGAGACCATCCTGGCCAACATGGTGAAACCCCGTCTCTATTAAAAATACAAAAATTAACTGGGTGTGGTGGTGCATGCCTGTAGTCCCAGTTACTCAGGAGGCTGAGGCAGGAGAATTGCTTGAACCAAGGAGTCGGAGGTTGCAGTGAGCTGAGATCATGCCATTGTACTCCAGCCTGGTGACAGTGTGAGACTCCATCTCAAAAAAAGAAAAAAAAAAGGGAATGAAATGTTTGAATATCTGTAGAGATAATTATACTTAACGTGATTCTATGCATATATATATTGAAAATAAGAATATAGATAATACTGGGCCAGTGTGGTGGCTCATGCCTGTAATCCCAGCCCTTTGGGGAACTGAGGGAGATGGATCACCTGAGGTCAGAAGTTCAAGACCAGCCTGGTCAACATGGTGAAACCCCATCTCTACTAAAAGCACAAAAGAAAATTAGCTGGGCGTAGTGGTACACACCTGTAATTTCAGTTACTTGGGAGGCTGAGGCAGGAGAATTGCTTGAACTCAGGAGGCAGAGGTGGCAGGGAGCCGAGATTGCACCATTGTACTCCAGCCTTGGTGACAGAGTGACACTCTGTCTCAAACAAACAAAAAACAACAATAGATAATACCATATTTTGACTGTACCTTTTCCATGTTTAGAAATATTTAAGTATGCAAATACTGACCATGTGTCACAGTGCCGCAGGATTCAGCACATGCACATGCACTGCAGGTGTGCAGCCCAGGAGCAGTAGCTTCTGCCAGATAGCCTCGGTGTGTAGGAGGCCGGACCACCTAGGTTTTTGTAAGTGCCCTCTATGATGTTCACACAATGACAAAAGTCTCCTAATGACACATTTCTTAGAATGTATCCCTGTCATGAAGCAGGGCATGACTGTATATACTGCATATTTATAACAGCATTTATATCATTTGTTATAAATGATATATTCATATATCACTTGAAAAATGATATCATTTCAAATATCATATATATTTGAAAAATATGAATATTAACATATATTCATATTTTTCCCTCCTGAAAACATGAGGAGACTTTTTTTTGTTTTCAAGATGGGGTTTCACTCTTGTTGCCCAGGCTGGAGTGCAATGGTGCGATCTCAGCTCACTGCAACCTCCACCTCCTGGGTACAAGAGAGTCTCCTGCCTCAGCCTCCCAAGTAGCTGGAATTACAGGCGTCCAGCACCACGCCCAGCTAATTTTTTGTATTTTTAGTAGAGACAGGGTTTCACCATGTTGTTCAGGCTGTTCTCAAACCCCTGACCTCAGGGGATCCACCCACCTCAGCCTCCCAGGGTGCTGGGATTACAGGTGTGAGCCACTGTGGCCGGCCGAGGAGACTTTTTATTTGGCTGTTTAAGTTGACAAATGGAAATGTTCCTACCCTCTTGGCTTTGTGTGTCTATGTGGTTTAATAACTCCACCTTATTATATTGCAGGCTTGAAAGAAAAAATGAAATGTTTAAAGAGTAGGTTATCCATTGTTTGCTGTGTCTGTGCTTGGTGTGACGCCTGCATGTCCCGGGGAGGTGGAATCTCGTCTGGCTGTAGGGGTACAGTGATCAGGTTACGACGATTTCTCAAGTAAGAACCTCGTAACTTGGTCAATATATCCACATGACACAGAGAGCCACCGTCTCATCCCCTCCCTTCTGTCCTGCTACCCCTGCCCCTCCTGAGCAGGCTGCATGCCACCTGGAAGCTGGGAATGCTTTGACTTTGCGGAGGTCCAGGTGAGCTCCCGTCTCTCTCTGTGTGTGGTCTGCTGCTCGTTTTGATGCCGATGCGTTGTCCCAACTGCCTGCTCTTTGAGGCTGTCTGTCTTGTGGACACTGGGAGCTTACATTCCAGGCGTCGGTTTGTGTGGCCTTGATTGGGGTTCAGACACACAAGGAGCCTCCCAGGGCGGTCCCGGTGCTCAAACAGGTCTTTCCTTGTGTGAATGGTAGAGGGAGCCATTTGCTTTGGATTTTCTCCAGCCCACTCAAACTGGTGGAATTAAAAATAGTAAATCATGAGGCCGGGCGCGGTGGCTCACGCCTGTAATCCCACCACTTTGGGAGGCCAAGGCAGGAGGATCACCTGAGGTCAGGAGTTTGAGACCAGCCTGGCCAGCATGGTGAAACCCTGCCTCTTAAAAAAAAAAAAAAAAGGAAAATAGCAAATCATTCCAAATGCCTTCCCAAATGCAGTCTGTCTGTCACACTGAGATTTTTTGCTGATGCTAAGGAAAAATCTCCTTGTCAAGTTAACCAAATGGGTCTGATTTCCCAGGAGGCCATTTCTAGGGCCGGGACTGAAAGGCTGACTTCAGGTAGAGAGCTACTTTTCTACATGAACAACAGAGAAACTTAAGCTTACATGAAAATAGTGATCAAAATGCTTCTATTTTATGCAAAATTAATGTACCTTAAGTTAGGTGTAATTGTTATGCAGTATCCATCCCCAATCCTGATGGTGCTGGCAGTGGCCTCTCTTCTCAGGAAGAGAAGATTCAGCTTGGTTTATTGAATGGGCTTTATGACCTCTGTGCTTCCTGTGAGTCGGGTCTCAACTTCCGAAGACTACAGCTGGTAAAGCACATTCTGAAGCCTGGAGGCTGTAGAGGGGCTGAGGTGGGAGGATTGCCTGGGGTCAGGAGTTCAAGGCTGTAGTGCACTGTGGTCGTGCCTGTGAATAGCCACCCCACTCCAGCCTGGACAACATAGCAAGACCTCGTCTCTTAAAAAAAAATAATAAAGGCCAGGCATGGTGGCTCACACCTGTAATCCCAACACTTTGGGAGGCCGAGGCTGGCGGATCATAAGGTCAGGAGTTCAAGACCAGCCTGGCTAATGTGGTGAAATCCCATCTCTACTAAAAATACAAAATTAGCCAGGCATGGTGGCGCACACTTGTAATCCCAACTACTAAGGAGATTGAGGCAGAAGAATCACTTAAACTCGGGAGGCAGAGGTTGCAGTGAGCCAAGATCACACCACCACACTCCAGCCTGGGCAACAAGAGTGAAACTCCATCTAAAAAAATAAGACAAAACAAAACAAAACAAAAAAACAATACAGCATGCACTCTGAACCAGGCCAGAGAGACCTTTTAAATCGAGTTTGACTTGGGCTTTCCCAATATTACCCGAATGAGGAAATCTCTCTCTTCTGCAGGGCACCCGTGTGAGCGAGAGGCATGCACAGTTGCATTTTAATCCTGTCTCCTCCAGGGCTGTTTAGGGCACCACTGCCAGCAGCCGGTCAGACCTGGTCCACAAGTCACTTCTGGATTTTCCTTTCTCATCTGTAAATGGACTGAATGGCTTCACAGGCTCTTGGCTTCACCTGGGCACCTGTTGTTTCTGCTTGTCCCTTGCCTCTAGCTGAGCTGGGAGCAGGGAAGGACACAGACAGCTTCAATTGTAGCCAGGCTGGTAAACACACCTTGCGCGGCCTGGGCCCTGGAATGCCCACAGAAGACAGAAACCCTCAAGGCTTGTCTGGCTGGCTGGGTGATGGGCGGCAGCCTGGGTGGTCACAGTCCCTCATACTGCTGCCTGCTGGGCAGGCCTCATTTTGGTTCTCAGACAAGATCACTATTGCTCAAGAGCTGTCAGCCTGTGGGCAGCATATTTCGATGTGGGGTGAGCCTACCTGGGTCATGGTTTGACCTCATGGGTCCTCAGCTCAGGTCCCCATCACCCCCTCTGAGGTCCAGGCTTGAGTGACTGCAGCCCAGGCAGGGGAGGCCAGGCCTGTGTGTTCCAAGCAGCAGAGACAGGCTGTGATCCTGTGAGTTCAGAAGGCCGGAGGGGCTGCGTTCACGCCTGTAATCCCAGCACTTCGGGTGTGTCAGCCTCATTCTGCCAAGGAGAGGTCTCAATCTGTCAACTAGAGACATTTAGTCAAAAGAGACTCCTATATTATTTCACAATAACTCTGGGTCACTTTGCTCAGAGAGGTTAAGGAGCTTAGCTTATCAGGTCGCACAGCCAGCAAAAGTCAGAACTGGCATTTAAAAATGGGCCTTACTGGTTCGGAAGCCCTCGTTCCTACCACTGGCTCCCAAATACCTCTCAGCAAGTTTTCCTTGGCTTGTGGGAAATCAGAAAAATAAAGACAACCAGTATTTTTTTTCTTTTTCCAAAAATATATAAATCTTATTTTAAAAAGCAATATTTGGGCTGGGTACAGTGGATCACGCCTATAATCCCAGCACTTTGGGAGGCCAAGGCGGGGGGGTCATGAGGTCAAGAGTTTGAGACCATCCTGGTGAACATGGTGAAACCCCATCTCTACTAAAAATACAAAAATTAGCTGGGCATGGTGGCTCACGCCTGTAGTCCAGCACTTTGGGAGGCGGGCAGATCACCTGAGGTAAGCAGTTAGAGACTGCCTGGCCAACATGGTGAAATCCCGCCTCTGCTAAAAATACAAAAATTATCCAGGTGTGCTAATGTGTGCCTGTAATTCCAGCTACACAGGAGGCCAAGGCAGGAGAATCTCTTGAATCCAGGAGGCAGAGGTTGCAGTGAGCCGAGATCGTGCCACTGCACTCCAGTCTGGGCAACAGAACGAGATCCATCTCAAAAAAAAAAAAAAAAGGAGGCCAGAGGGATGGCAGAGGACTGTCCTCAGACTCCATTCTTTTTAAAGGCAATGTGTGTGGACAGGGAAGGGCTTGGAGGCCTTGGGCAAGGTTCAGTGTACACAGCTGGGGCTGGTGTTCAGGACATGAGAGTTGATGAGGAGGAGGCAGTCACAGTCATGCTCTCAGAGGCTTCTGGTGGCCCCTGCAGCGAGACATTGTCTCAGACTCCCCTGAGCATCTGTCTGTACCAAGCATGTGCTGGGCATGTGGAGGTGATGCACAGCCTTTGCCTTCTGGAAGCCACAGCCTTGCTGGGGACAGACCCACAGTGCCACATGTGCCATGATGGAAACAGAGACTGCGCTGCAGGAAGAGGGATCAGTCTTGGAGGAGTTGCAGGGCAGAGGTGTTTCAGGTGGAAAGGGGGACCTCAGCCCTTGGGTCTGAATGCCATGAAGACCTTGGACTTGGTGCAAATGGCCAGAGACAAGAGCTTGATCTGAAATGTATGTTTTCCAAGCCATGGAGACAGTGCGAGCTGACACCACAGCCGTGGTTGCCAGGAGGAAGCTGTCAATGTTGTGAGCAAGTTTGTGGAGCACGTGCTCTTGCAGGGCACTGCAACAGGTTCTGGGGACACAGAGACCAGTTAGTCACAGCCTCTGCCCTCGAGGAGCCCGAGACAGCACAGGGAGAGGAATTCAGGCCAGCAGGGACAGGGGCAGTCGGGTTGCCTATGGAAAGGCTTGTCCTGCGTGCTGAAGGACAGGTACTCCTCTCCCTGAAAGAAGAGTAGGGAGCTGTGTGGGACTCACAGGGTGGCAGAGGGGGTGGGGTAGGAGGCGGAGGGAAGAGTTGGATGGGACAGCACACACGGCCCTGCTGTCTCCCATCCTGGCCTGCTGCTTGGTGCCTTGAGGCCGGTTCCTGGCTCATGGGATGGGTCTGGGCCCGTGGTGGGAGGTGAGCTTGCCTATGCCTGCGCAGTGGGGTCCCAGAGGTGAGTTTCACTGCCGTTCCTGCCACAGGAAGAGTCCCCCTCCATCCTCCTGGGTACCCTCTGACCACTCCCTTCTCTGATGGGCCTGACTCCTTGCTACAGGGTCATTCCCCACTGTGTGTGGCTATACCTAAGCCTTTACTAAGACCCGACCGATGCCAGTGTCTGAGTCAGCCTGGGCAGCTTCCATCACAGACATTCATTTTCTTATGGTTCTAGAGACTGGAAGTCCGAGATCAGACATGCTGGCTTCTCCTGAGGACTCTGCCTGGCTTGTAGACGACCACCTTCTTACTGTGTCGTCCCATGGCCTTTCCTGGTACATGCATGAGGAGAGAGCAAGGCCCCAACTCTGTCCCTTCTTTGTGTGTATGTGCGCACGCACACATGCAACATGGCTATTCACCTGGGTGTAGGTGGGCTGAGGCTGAAAAGGGCGTCAGCCTCTGCTGTCCCTTCTTATACAGGCTTGAACCCCCTGGATCAGGGCCCCACCCTTAGTGCCTCAGAGGTACTCTTGTCAACAGGCCAGGACTTGCCTCCAACACCAGCATCCTATCTCTGTGAAACAAAATTCTCCCAAGGACCTCGTCCAAGTCCCTGTGGTCTAGAAGGTGTCAGCGTGTGGTTCCCGGTCAGGTTCCAGCTGCAGCATGGCTGTGCCCACTTAGTGGACCCAGCAGGGAAGGGAGCTGTGGCCCTGGCATGGGCCAAGCAGGGCGTTAGGTGCTTCGTGCATTGCCTCACTTCATCCTGGAGCTTCCACAGCTTGCTCTGTGCCCACGTTTCCTCATCTGTAAAATGGAGATCATCACAGGGTTTTAATGGGGTTAAGAATAAATTAAATTGAATAGTTCTTGTGCCTTGGGCCAAGGTCAGTAGCAGTGAACGCCGGCTTCTCTGATGGTCATCGTTGTCCTGTTATCTGCTGGCATTTCTTCCCCAGCCCGGTTTCTTCCTCTGAGTCCCATTTCATTCCCATCTGCGTCTTGGGGACCTGTCCACCCACATGTCAAACTCAAGCCTGCCCCAGGCAGAACTTGCCTCCTCTCCTCGGTCCATCCCTCCAGCCTCCGCGGCTGCCTGGCTTAGTGCACTTCCCTCCTCCAACCCAGCCACCCAACGGGAAAGCTGGAGTCGCCTGGCCTGCGCCGTTGCCTTGCACCCTGTCCAGTGGGTCCTCCCCATCCTCCTCTCCCCTCCTCTCTCTGCCTCTTGGCATCATCCTCTCCCTCCCATGTTCCCGCTGGCTTCTCCCCTGGAGGCTTATTTGGTGACTTCCTGGGCATCACAGTCTGAGTTGGAGAGATCTCAGTCCACTCCCATGCTAGGGGCTGAGTGGGCAGGATCTAGGGCTGTTCTTGGCACAGGGCGAAGTGCAGACATGACGCTTGGTGACTGGTCCTGGCCCTTTCTGTTCAGTGTCTGTCTACCCTCCCTATTCCCTGACTCAGTGCCCCAAGCATGGAGGGCTACCAGCCCTCCTCGCCTGATACCCAATGCCCTCTGTCACTGGCCACACAGCCACCTCCTCTTCTCCTTAGTTCCTGTGTGAATACTGTGTCTGTGTCCCAGTGAAGGGACACAGTCCTCCCCGGAGGAGCCAGCGCTACCTCTTTGTCCTCCCTTAGCACTCCAGGTGCTTGTCCCCAGGTCCCCAGCTCTCTGCAGTGTGTCTGCCTAGGGGGTCTCTCTGTGCACTGTGGCTCCTGGACCTTGGGCAGGGGGTGGCATCTGGTGTGTGTCTGCAGTAGGATGATGGGTATGGAGTGAGCATGACAGTCCCCTTTGGTGTACCAATATAGACCCGGAAGTGCAGGTGCATGGGGAGCCTGGTCTGGGACATCTGCCATAGGAAGAGCCGTTTGCCAGGGGTGTGGGAATTCCAGGGGCCACTGCGGCACTGCAGCTTCCACGGAATTTTCTGCTCTCCCACAGACCCTGCGTATTAAAAGGTCAGGTCCTGGGGTGGCTGGCCAAGGTAGCTCTCTCTCTGTCTCTTTTTTTTTTTTTTTTTGAGACAGAGTTTCACTCTTGTTACCCAGGCTGGAGTGCAATGGCGCGATCTCGGCTCACCGCAACATCTACCTCCTGGGTTCAGGCAATTCTCCTGCCTCAGCCTCCTGAGTAGCTGGGATTACAGGCATGTGCCACCATGCCCAGCTAATTTTTTGTATTTTTAGTAGAGATGGGATTTCACCATGTTGACCAGGATGGTCTCAATCTCTTGGCCTCATAATCCACCCACCTCGGTCTCCCAAAGTGCTGGGATTACAGGCGTGAGCCACCGCGCCCGGCTGTTCTCTTTTTTTTTTTTGAGACAGAGTCTCGCTCTGTGACCCAGGCTGGAGTACAGTGGTATGACCTTGGCTCACTGCAACCTCTGCCTTCTGGGTTCAAGCAATTCTTCTGCCTCAGCCTCCTGAGTAGCTGGAACTACAGGTGCACACCGCCACCCTTGACTAATTTTTGTGTTTTTAGTAGAGACAGGGTTTCACCATGTTGGCCAGGCTGGTCTCAAACTCCTGACCTTGTGATCTGCCCGCTTGGGCCTCCTAAAGTGCTGGGATTACAGGTGTGAGCCACCACCACACTCGGCCACCAAGTAGCTCTCTTGAAGTGTGTGGAGAACTAATCTGAAGGAAGCAGGCACTCCAAGGTGTGCACCCCGCGGTGTCTCAGGCAGGGAGATGGATTCCCTCCTAACTTGCCCAACGCCTAGGGATTGAGACAGCTGACGTTTATTCAGTGTTGCTTCTTTCTGATTTCAATTCTGGGGCTCTCTCTCCTCCACCCAACACCTGGTTAGACGGAGCCAGAGATATCCTGGAGGCAGTGGGTTTTGAGGAAAGAAAAAAGGAAACCTGTTCACCAGAGGCTTTTATATAAATGACATACACTGAAGAACGCACCTCCCTGCCGGCTACTGCAAACCACAGTCACGAAGTCCAGTATTCTGCTCATGTGTAAAATGCCTTTTTTGAACTGGACAGCAAAGGTTGAAACTGTCTAGAGCTTGGGCTCAGGAGGCAGGAGACGCTTGTCTTGCTTCAGGGGCACCTGGGACACGTCACGGGCCGCACAGCGTTTCAGGGCTTGGCCCACTGCTCTCCAGCATGCCTTTGGGAACCTCAAAACAGCACAGTGACCCGGCAGAGAAGTGTGGTCCAGGCCACTGGAGAAGGTGAACACTTAGCTGGTGCCCTCTCAGAAGATCGGCCGACTTGGCTTCCTCCTCTCAGGAGGGCAACACCCCAAACAGGAGTGTCTCTGGGGTACCCACTGCCAGAAGGAGAATCGGGCACAGAAGGGCAGCTGGCACAGTCCTCTCAGTTGCTGGTGTGTTTTTCAGTGGTTTAGGGCGGCAGTTCTGGCTGACAGCTCCCACGGACTCAAGGCTCCCTGCTCCCATGGGCAAACGTTGGCTTTCCCAGAGGCCTGTGCCTGCCCACTGGCTTTGCCCTTGATGGCTGCCTTTGTGTCTGAGGTGATGCTTTTCTCGGGATTCTGAAGTCTCGATCGTGGCTGCAGAGCCCAGACTCATGTGTTAAAATGTGTTTGTATTCTTCCAGTTGACTTAACCACCTTTGTGACCCACTTTGAATGGGACATGGCCAAATATCCTGCCAAGCAGCCACTCGTGAGCGTGGTGGACACCATAGCCAAGGTGAGGAGGGGATGCTCCAGGGGACATCTGACCGGTGAGTCAGGCGGGCAAGAGCGTGGGGTCTGAGCCTGGACAGGGTCCCCAACCACAGCCTCAGCCAGCCCTGACTGGGTCTCTGGGTTTCTGAGGTGTGGCCTCCTTCCATGCACTGGTCAGGTTTGGAGTTTCAGGGCAGCCCTAGACAGGAAGGAGACAGTCCCCTGACCTCCCCTTGAGGGCCCAGCACCCCATCACTTGCTGCTCTACTTTTTTTTCCCCAAAGTTACTGATTTTGGCCAGGTACAGTGGCTCACGCCTGTAATCCCAGCACTTTGTGAGGCTGAGGCAGGTGGATCGTGAGGTCGGGAGTTCGAGACCAGCCTGTCCAATATGGTGAAACCCCTCTCTACTAATAATACAAAAATTAGCCGGGCATGGTGGTACATGCCTGTAGTCCCAGCTACTCAGGAGGCTGAGGCAGGAGAATTGCTTGAACCTGGGAGGCGGAGGTTGCAGTGAGCCAAGATTGTGCCATTGCACTCCAGCCTGGGCAACAGCTCAAAAACAAAACAACAGCAAACAACAATAACCACGAACAGTTACTGATGGCGACTGCTCGATGAAGGCAGCTCCCCTCCTCTCCTCCCAGCAACCAGACACCTCTACCTCCCAGGGGATTGTTCACCTGCAAAGCTATTTGCTTTAGGTGGAGAGTTCAGCATGGGAGCCCTCACCTCTTGAGACCTTGCACCAGCTACTTGCTGGGAGCTTCCCTAATTAGAGGCACTTGTGACAGTGGAGAGGCAGGAAGTGTCCCAAGAGTCTGCTGTCCTGCCCAGCAATGGCCTCCATGTCACTTGATAAAATAAACCTCAAGTCCCAGGTGATGCTGTGGGCATCTGGAGCCTGGTGACTTCTCTGTATCATCACTGAGGGTGAGGGTGAGGGTGATGAGGACCGTGAGATGGAGGCTGATGGTTTCTGATGGCCTGGCCCTCCCTTCTGCCACAAAACACTGAGCCCCTAATATGTCCTTTCTCTAGTTGGCCCCCATGGCTGTGGGAGAGTCTTGGCCTGGGCTAAGAACAAAGGTGCCCTGTTCTGTGACTGTGGCCAAGGGTCAGAGTGGAGCTGGGCCTCTGGGACCAATCCTCTGGCAGCTCCTGCAGGTTTCCTGGAAAGGAGGGTGGAGCCAGAAAGCTTGGGAATCTGGGTGGCACTGCTTACGTCAAGGAGACGCAGGCCCCTCCTGGGATGATTGGGCAGTGATTGGGGAAGGCCCTTCAAGGAGGGGCTGCTCAGAGCACCTGTGCCAGGCTTGCCTTTCAGAGGGCACTGTGCACACCCACCAAGGAACTGGAAGCACGTGGTGGCTGGTGGGGCTGGCCCTTCCTTGCCCCGCCCCGTGCCAGTTTGGGATTCTCTGAATCCCAGGGATGACAGACCCTGGGGAAGGCCCCCAGAGCACATGGAGGGAGCAGAGGGGCTGTAGGGAGACCTAGCTTCTCCAGTCCAGGGCACCCCAAAAGCACCTTTGGCAGGCAGGAAGGAGGGTGCTGGTTTGGTGGCATTCTAGATGGCCAGAGACCTTGCTGGGCTCTCTTACTTTCCACCTCTTGCCTTGTGGTGGACACCGCTTTCCTCTGAGTGGAGAAGAGGAAGCTGAAGGGTCGAGTAAGTGCTCCAGGGCCAACCCATTAGGCCAGGCTCGGGATGCAGGTCTTGGCGACCAGAGCCTGCGGGCTGTGCTGTGTGCATGGAAGCCCTGGACTGGCCCCACTGCAGGGAAGCAGCTCCTGGCAGCAGCAGGGCCTGAGGCTCTGGAGTGTGGGCTCCCACAGTCCTTCCTACTCCAGAAACACAGTGTGACACCCCCGCCCCAGCCTTGTTCTGCCAATGAGAGGTCTCAATCTGCCAACTAGAGACATTTAGTCAAAGGAAACTCCTATGTATCTCACAATAATTCTGGGTCACTTTTCAGAGAGGTCTAGGAGCTTATATCAGGTCACACAGCAAGCAAAAGTCAGAACTGGCATTTAAATGTGAGTCTTGCTGGTTCGAAAGCCCTCGTTCCTACCACTCTTCTGCTGGCTCCCTATTACTGCTTGGCAAGTTTTTATTTGCTTGTGGTGAAATCAGAAAAGTAAAGACAAGAAGTTTTTTTTGCTTTTGTTTTTCAAAAAATATATAAATCATATTTTAAAAACCAGTACCAGTGGGTTGTACCTGTGTCAGTGTCCTGGTTATGACAGTGCGCTGCGATTGCGAGATGCAGAATAGCGTAGTTGTGCAGGGCAGCGTAGTATAGAAGTAGAGCTGTGCAGTGCAAAATGGCACTAATGTAGTGTAGTTGCATGATGCAGTATATTTGTCTCGTGCAGAATAGTTTAATACAGTCCTCCAGTTGTACAATACAGTTGCATGTAGTTGCACAGGGCAGAACAGTTGTATAGTGAGACGTCGTCACTGTGGGAAACTGCATGAAGGGGACTTAAGATCTCTGTGTACTATTTTTGTAACATCCTGTGAATCTATAATCGTTTCAAAATTAAACATTTAAAAAAATTATAAAACGATGAAATTTTTTTTCTTTTTTTTTTGAGACGGAGTTTCGCTCTTGTTACCCAGGCTGGAGTGCAATGGCGCGATCTCGGCTCACCGCAACCTCCGCCTCCTGGGTTCAGGCAATTCTTCTGCCTCAGCCTCCTGAGTAGCTGGGATTACAGGCACACGCCACCATGCCCAGCTAATTTTTGCATTTTTAGTAGAGACAGGGTTTCACCATGTTGACCAGGATGGTCTCGATCTCTTGACCTCATGATCCACCTGCCTCAGCCTCCCAAAGTGCTGGGATTACAGGTGTGAGCCACTGCGCCCGGCCTCAAAACGATGAATTTTATTAAAAAAATTAAACATGGCAAAATGTAAAGATAAAAGCATTTAGATGCCCAGGCTGGAGTGCAGCAGCATGATCTCAGCTCACTGCAGCCTCTGCCTCCTGGGTTCAAGCAATTCTCCCGCCTCAGCCTCCCGAGTAGCTGGGATTACAGGTGTCTGCCACCACGCCTGGCTAATTTTTGTATTTGTAGTACAGACGGTGTTTCACTGTGTTGGCTAGGCTGGTCTCAAACTCCTGACCTCAGGTGATCTGCCCGCCTCAACTTCCCAAAGTGCTGGGATTACAGGCATGAGCCACCGCGCCTGACCTATGATTTTAATTTAATCATTTAATCGTTTTAATTATCATATTTAATTATTTTATCTTTAAAATTATTTTATGGTTTTATCTTTAAAATTATAAAATCATCAGAGCTGTGATCATCACCCCCATTCCCTATATTCTCCCAAAAGGTAACCAGTGTTTAAAAGTTTAAAATGGATTCTCCTATGTATAAATGTGTGTATTTAGACTAAAGCTGTTGGCATTCTAGGGAGCACCTGTTTTCTTCATCTGCTGATTCTGGAGATTCTCCAGCAGCAGCTGTGTGCTGGCCTGGAGCATTTGTTGCTGGCCATGGTGTAAATGTTCCTGCTGTGGCTGGTTGTCCAAGCTGGTGGAGTGTCACGCGTGGGGCTGAGGGAGGGAATGGGAAGGAGCCTCGAACAGCTGGCTTTCAGCACCGGCACTATCCCCACTGTGGGACAGATGGGGAATGTGAGCCAGTTGGCCAGAAAGCAGGAGAGCGCAGCTTGAGCCCAGGCCTGTCTTATTTCTGCCCACCATACCTCCCTGCCCCTGCCAACCCATTCAAGGGAGATCAGCACAGTCAAGCTAGGAGACATGGGCATCTGTGAGGGCCAGGCCATGCCGGGTCCCCCGGAAGCAAGGAGGGGGGTCAGCCTGAGCTGGCCTCCAGCAGAGCCTGAGAGGGTGGGTGTGGGCGTGGGATGCCTGACCATTAAGGATGGGCTTGAAATCAGGAAAGGGTGGGCTCATTGAGTCATCCTAGTGAAGCCATCACGGCTTGGCGCCTGGGTGCCACATGGGGCCTCCCTGGAAGGGCCAAATGCTGGTAAACGGAAGCCATCCCAGCAAATGGGCATGGCAGTTGTTTTTCTTGAGCGCACCATGAGCTGTTGTGGCCATCTCAGAAAGTTCAGCCAAGGCTCGAGGTCACTAGGAGCTTTTGCTTTCCCAAACAGCAACTGGCGCAGATCGAGACGGACCTGAAGTCTCGAACAGCAGCCTACAACACTCTGAAGACAAACCTGGAGAACCTGGAGAAGAAATCCATGTGCGTATCTGCCAGCCTCTACATGTGACTAGGGCGGGTCCTGGCGGGGACTTAGCGCTTGCCCGTCCTGTCACTGGGCCACCTGCGGAGGCTATGCCCATGTTTGACATGAGGCAGACAGGTGAAGGTGCTTACCTCTGCAAGAGCTGCGTTCTGGGAGAGGAGGAATGGGCCAGGCGAAGGTGATCGCACCTCACTCATGTGCCCAGGGAAGAGTATGGGCGATGCTGCTCACCACCTGCATGCTTCCCTCTCCTGGCTCCTCCAGGGTGCCTGGGATGTTGCCCCCAGTCCTCCCCTGTGGAGGCTGCACAGAGGGCCCACTGGGGGTGACAGGGGACTGGGATGTCACAGCACAGCCCTTTGCAAAAGGCAGGGAGTTACTGGGCTCTGTGGCCCAGAGCAGAGCAGACTCAGGGACTCAAGTGCCTTCTCCACCCATCTGAAGGGCAACTGTGTGGGAGAGGGAGTGGGCTCAGCAGACAGAACAGTCACCAGGATGGTGGCAGTGCCACAGAAAAGTATAAGCTCAGTGACATGGTGGCAGGGACCGTTGGGAGGTAGTGAGTGTCCTGTTGGAGGTATGTAAGAGAAGCCAGGTAGCTAGGCGCAGTGGCTTTCGCCTGTAATCTCAGCGGTTTGGGAGGCTGAGGCGGGTGGATCACCTGAAGTAAAGAGTTTGAGACCAGCCTGGCCAAAATGGTGAAGCCCCATCTCTACTAAAAATACAAAAAGTAACTGGGTGTGGTGGAGGGCACCCATAATCCCAGCTATTTGGGAGGCTGAGGCATGAGAATCACTGGAACTCGGGAGACAGAGGTTGCAGTGAGCCAAGATCATCACTGCATTCCAGCCTGGGCAACAGAGTGAGATTCTCTCTCAAAAAAAAGACACACACACACACACACACACGCACGCACGCACGCACACGCAGGCACACACTGGGTGAGCTCCTCCTGGGGAGGCTGTTCCTGAACAGGGTGGGGGTGGCATGGAGGAGCAGCCCAGTCCCCCAGACTTTGGATCTGATGCTGTTGGCGGTTCTCTAAGGACCCTGGTCGATTGCAGAGTTTTTAATTTGATGCCTACACTTGGACCCTAACTCCAGAGGAGGGAAGTGGACAGGGAGCCTGAACCAGCTGCCCTCCCTCTGAGGCTCACCACTGTAAGCAAAGAGAATTCACCTGGGAGGTACCCCACTTCCACATTCCGCTTCTCAGGTCACTGGGCCAGCTGTCTTCTTGTGAAAAAAGAAAATGGTACATAGTGGAAAGAAAGTTAGAAACCACAGATGAAGGACTCACTTTAATAGAAGCCCTTGCTGTTGGATGCCTGGCTTCGTGTCAGAAGTGAGTGGGCATGAGCTCCAAAGGATGGGACAGAGACTGGTGCCAGGGCAGAGAGCCCTAAATGGGGATGGGTCATACGTCTGTCCTGGCTTGGAGCCTGCGGGCCATGGGGCCGTCACCCCATGGTGGGCTGTTTGGGACTTGAGCAGACATCTGGTCCAGCCTCTTCACTCAGCTGGTGAGGTTCCTTCATCCGCTGATCATTCATTGATTCACTGTGACTTTGATTGACTGAGCGCATATGCCAAGTATAGGAGGGCGGCATGCGAAGAAGGATGAAAGTCACTCCCTCCTCTGCGCTCTTTTCTTCTTTCGTTGTACATGTATCAAGTGTGCACCGTGCCCTCAGGCCGGATGCTAGACGCTAAAGATACAATGCAGAATACAATACAATTTCTGCACTTGCAGGGCTCACTGTTACTCATTCAACAAACACACGTGGAAAGCTGGGTTTATGTTTGGGGTTCAGAGGTCAGCCAGGGAGACGGGTGGGACAGTGTGAGGGTAGTGTGTTCGGTGCTAGCATGCTAGGAACCTCTGGGCTTTATCCATGGCCACGGAGCTGTTCAGTGATGTTCAGGCAGGGGACAGCAAAGAAGGCACGTGGGCTCCCGAGGAGGGTATTTACCGTTGCCTTTAAAGCTTTGGCAATGGCTCAACGCCGGAGAGCGATTTCCAGAGAAGCGCTGTGGCCGCATCACGGCCCCTGTATGGACGCCCCATATGGCCTGGGTAGCTTGATCTTGGCCCATTTACTGATCCGATAGCTTTGATCCATGTGCTAATAATACCATGCTCTCCACTCAGCCCAGATCCACTGGGCATGTAAGAAGCTATTTCAGGTGAGTGTCTCCGGGCTGCTGGCCTGGGAGGCGTGTAATGTGACACAGAGCTCTATTGTGATGGTTCACACAGCTCTGAGAGCTGCCCATTGTGTTGACACTTGAGTAGCTTTAGCTGCCTGCCACCCGAGGCCCCCCTCCTGTAGCAGCTGTGGCAGGCACTGGGGCAGGGCAGGTCACTGAGGTGTTGGATTCAGCAGCCCCTGGGCGACGGGTGATAGCACCTGATGCCCTGCCAGCCTCCCTGTCCCTAGAGGGAAGGAGGCAGCAGCTGTGGGCCCAGCACAGAGTTTGGGGCACTGGGCACTGGGGTTGCGGGGAACAATCATTTCTGAGAATTGCTGTGTTCTCCTAGGCCCCAGCAACCCCGGCGCCCACAGCCCCTGAGAACTGCCTCTGGCCCCAGCACCTGTGTGTGGGTGTCTGTGGGGGTCACCATATCCCTTTCTGCTCACACCTTTCACGCCCTTTGTTCCACCTGCCTTTTAGGGGGAACCTCTTCACCCGGACACTGAGCGATATTGTGAACAAAGAGGACTTCGTGCTGGATTCTGAGTATCTCGTCACGCTTCTGGTCATTGTCCCCAAGTGAGTGCTGCTGGGAGAATGAGTGTCTCAGCCTGTGCTGGCGATCGCAGAAGGGAACTTACTGCCCCTGCCCAGTGGAGAGGAAGGTGGCCCGTTGGTGTCTCTGGTGATTCCCATTGTCCTGAGGCTGGAGAGGTCGCTTAGCTTGTCCAAGGTCACACGGAGCCCAGATTAGATGGTTATTAGTGAGCGCCAACTGTAACCACAGCTCTTCACAAAGGGACTTCTGTGGGTACCCTGGGGAGGCTGGGCAGGGATTCCCCATGGGCACAGCAGGGCCTCCGGAGATTAGGGCTCCCTCTGACCCCAGCCCTGCTCACCTTCAGGGCCTCAGGAAAAGGGGTGTACAGCTTCCTGAGCACTTGGGACTCCCAAGAGCTTTTTCAGCCAAAAATCACAGAACCATTCTGTGTTCTTGCAGACCAAACTACTCACAATGGCAAAAAACCTACGAATCTCTCTCAGACATGGTGGTCCCTCGATCGACCAAGTAAGTGAGACCACAGCTTGGCCCCAGGTCCCCTGGGGGGCATGTGGGTGCTTCAGGGCAGCCAGCCACCAAACATGGCCCAAGGGTATGAGCCCCCGAGCCCTCCACACCTGGGCCCTCTCCTGTCCCTTGGCCTAGAATTCTGTTAGGGTCACACACATTGTCACATGCTAGAGTCCTTCCTCTTTCAAAACTCCACTTCCCTGCCTCTGCCCTGGGAAGGCTGCCCTGGCACCGCCTGGCCTAGCATCTTCTCTGTGCTGTTGCTCTCTGCTGCATTATGGCTGCATTCTCAGCTCAGCATCATTTCTTCCCTGGTGGAGGGGGAAGCCAGCCCTGGCCTGAGTGGCTGCCCAGTGAACAGCCACAGCGGGAGGTGGGAGGGAAAGCAGACTTAGCATGTGTCCTGCAGGGGCCAGAGCAGGAGTGGCCAGTGGGCCCTGTTAGAGTGACAGGAGAGCAGGTTACAAACTGTGTCCATCATGGGACACTGCCCGGCGAGGAAGGAAGGGTGCTGGGCTCTGGGCATCAGCAGGGAGGAAGCGGAGAGACAGCTGCAGAGGAGCAGAGGGTCTGAAATGGATATGACTCAGTACGCACGGGTGTGAAGGGAATTGCAGGGATAGGCCATGGGGAGGAAGGCCACACTCAGGATGGTGGTGGCTCAGGATGGAGTGAGTGGCACATAGTGGGATAGGGGGACGTGAGCTTTCACCTGCTGGACCTTTGGTTTTTGGGTGGCTGATCCAAAGGAATGTGTTTTCCATTTTTTGAGATGGAGTCTCGCTCTGTTGCCCAGGGTGGAGTGCAGTGGTATGATCTCAGCTCACTGCAGTCTCCACCTCCCGGGTTTATTTTTATTTATTTATTTTTTTTGTTTCCATTATCAAATCGGTGGTATGGCAGCCTCCTGTGTTTAAGCAATTCTCCTACCTCAGCCTCCTGAGTAGCTGGGATTATAGGCATGCACTATCATGGTTGGCTAATTTTTGTATTTTTGGTAGAGATGGGGTTTTACCCTGTTGGTCAGGCTGGTCTCGAACTCCTGACCTCAGGTGGTCCGCCTGCCTCAGCCTCCCAAAGTATTGGGATTACAGATGTGAGCCACCGCACCCAGCCTGGTACTTGTTTTCCTCTATACCTTTTTGTATGGCTGAGATGGTTTGTAATTTGAAGAGATTTTAGAACATGCATCAGGCAGCCAGCCTGTTCATCTGATTTCCCACACACACAACTCCTGCTGTAAGGTCTCTGCCCTGGGGCCCCTGCTGGGGAGGGGCTCTCCCAGGGCTATGAGACGGCAATCGGGATCTAAATTGAAGGTTGCAAGGAACAGGATAGTCACAGCCCGAGGTCACAGGGAAGGTAGGGAAGAGGAGCAAGGCTCCGGAGCAGAGGAGCCTGCCCTGGAAGCTGGCAGAAGCAGTCACTGCTCTTAAATGCCAAGCACCGGGATCCTTGCCAGGACCGGCTGCCTTGGTCCATGGCCTGGCCTCCCAGACCAGAGCCTCAGGCCCTTCGTTGTCACAGGGCACCTGAGAGCCTGCACAGATAACTCTGGAAATACCTGGAGCCTGGGGGCAGCCCCTGTGGATGCGGCTCAGAGAAAGGAAGGGGGACCCCGTGAGATCCTGCCTGGGCCTGAGGGCTCCCACTTCCCATCTTCTGGCCAATAGAACTCAGAGAGCTTAGACCCCTGGCCCCAAGAATTCCCAAGTTGCTAGAGGCAGTGGCCCCAGTGGACCTATGTTGAGATGTGCTTGGGAAGCTGTGTCCCATTAGGACTTTGTGACATTGGAAGTGAAATGGACCTTGTAAGATGGTTTCCACCACCCTGTTTCACTATAACCACAGCACATCAGAGCCAGGGACACCCCGTGCCAGCTGCAGTGACAGAGCCCCAGGAGGGCTTGGTTGCTCAGGCATTTGATGAGTGGGAGCCAAAGCCCAGGCCTCTGCACCCCCTGGACCCCAAGGCCCTCTGAGGCCTTAGCCTGGAGGAGTGTGGAAGGGACAGGAAGGAAGGGCAGCCAGCCAGAGGTTAGGAAATCACAGGGTGTGCCCTGGGTTCCCCAGCCGTCAGCTGATGCCAGGAGCCCCAAGTACAGGCCACCAGGCCTGGGGGCCCCTGAGCCCTGGTCCCACACAGGGCCAGGCGGAGTCCAGCCAGCAGATGCTTCTCTCCAACAGACTCATTACTGAGGACAAGGAGGGCGGCCTTTTCACTGTGACTCTGTTTCGAAAAGTGATTGAAGATTTCAAAAGCAAAGCCAGAGAAAACAAGTAAGGGTTCTCCAGATTTGCTCCATCTCCCGTTGCAGGGGTCGGGGGTTCTCTGCCCCTCTGGAAAGCGTCTGAGTGAAAGCCCATGGTTTGCTTGCTTTAAGGTTCACTGTTCGTGAATTTTACTATGATGAGAAAGAAATTAAAAGGGAAAGGGAGGAGATGGCCCGATTGCTGTCTGATAAGAAGCAACAGTATGTGAGTATGTGATTGAGTGGCCCCTCCCCCGCCAGTGGCCTGGGGATAGAAGAGTCCTCCCAAGTCTCCTGCTCTCCCTCTCACTGTCCCCAGTCCCCTGGGCTCACACTGTGGGGACCCACTATCTGTTCTCATGGGATGCCTGAGGGGGTCCTGGAGGGGAGGGGCAGTGCTCACACAAAGGATCCCAGGCGGTGGAGCTGGGGGTCCACCTGAGCCACATGTTCCACATACGTTCTCACCGTCCTGAGCACTGCCCTGCCAGGGAAGGGTTGCTGGCTCCACAGAATGGATGAGAAACTGAGGCTGAGAGGCAACTGGCTAGAGGACCTTGCCCAGCCTTCCTGGGACTGAGCAAGGCACGGGGGCTCCAAGCGGGTGCATCTGTGCGCAGGGTGGGCAGCGCCGGGCCTTGGAGATTGCAGTGCGAGGTTTCCAGGGCGCCGCTGGCCCCTGTATTTACTTCCCGTGTTCTTAGCACGGAGTGGGTGCTTATCTGGAGACTTCCGACCACAGCCACTGAGAAGCCCTTCATGTAGGAGGACAGCTTAGCTCTCCAGGGAGCAAAACCAGATGCTTGATTTGAAATGTGAGCAGGAGAGCCTTGGGAGGGTCACTCCAGGGCCCTGTGAGGAGGGCGCCTTCCACACTCAGGTCCTCCCGCTGCCGTGCTGGGCTAAGCCAGGCAACTTGGAAGGAGCCTGTCTGGGTGGGATGCTTTTGGGCCCCTTCTTTCCCATGCCCACCAGAGAGGTTTCCGTGGAGCACCTTCCAAGCTAGCCTCCAGAGACGGGCGGGAGGAAGGAGTAGAACATCCTTGAGGTCTTTGGGGGAAAGTTGCTGTGAGCGCAGCGCTGTGAGGACCTCCGTAGGAAGGAGCACTGGCCGTGGCAGGCTGGGAGTGCTCCGATGCCTGCATCACCAAGTGTGTGCTCCAGGCTCTTGGGGACTTGGCCTGCCAGCGACCTTCTCGCGCAGGGACTGCAGATAAGCAGCCACCCCTCATGAGTGAGCCCAGCCATGGAGCCTCCATAGTGGGGTTCTTGGACCTCCCCTTAGGAAGGAGACAACAGCTGATAATATAAAAGTTCATATAGGGGTTTTTCACTCCTGCCCCAGAAATAGAAGCACAGGATGCTCACACGTGTGTGCGTGCGTGTATGTGTGTGCATGTGTGCGCCTGTGCGCGTGCATGTGTGTGGACATGTGTGTGCATAGCAAGTGAGACACGCCTCAGAACCAGAGGCTCTGGGCTGTGGCTGAGCCTGTGGGGAGGGTGTCCCTTCTTGAGGATGAGGGGCCAAGCTGGAGCTGGGGACCTTTGGGTGCTCCTGTTCTCAGAGCAGGGCCCACAGACCCAGATACCAGGCAGGAGAGATTTTCCCCAGTCAAAGCTGAGCTCCACAGTGTTTTCTTCCTTAGCCTCAGCTCACCTGAAACCCTCATAACCTGGGCGTGCCCGGGCCGTTCTCTCTAGTTGGGCTTTTTCCCAGTTCACTTCAGACCTGGCCCCACCCCACTGCACAGTTTATCTGGATGGGGGCTAGACCATGGCAGCCTCCACAATGGGAGGCCCTGCTGGGTGGGGGACAGGTGGCGAAGTAGGGCCTTTGGCACCCTCCTGGGCACTGGCCCAGGCCTGCCAGACCCCTGGGGAACAGGGTGACACAGCCTGCCACCTGCCACGTGGGGCTCAGGTTGCCAGCTGGCATTATTTTCCATGGCCTAGCCTTCACCCACACTGCCCTGGGGGCCCTGCCAGGGTCTCTGTGGGTGGGAGGTGGAGGCACTCTCAGCTTGGGTCAGCCCCACTGGCCTCCTAAGAATCTGGCCCCCTCTGGCCTATCTGGAAGTTCATGACCAAGAGTCTGGCATCCTTTTTGTCACTTGTTAACCAGAGGGACAGTGCAGGCCCTGGGTTTGAGTGTATTTTGAGAGCAGAGTGGGATTTCCCAGTGTTTCCCACCTGTTTGCAGAGACAGAATGGGAATGGGTGTCTTAACTGCACGCCCAACTCATCTCCTGCACTCTACGCACCGAGGGGTCCCCCAAATGTCAGGAGGGCATCTGTGGTGGGTATGGTGGAGACTCCTTGACAGAGTACAGACAGCGTTTCCACTGACGCCTCCTAGCGCCATCCTGGTCAGCCGGCAGTGGGGGTCCTGGTCGATCCCAAGCACAGGGACTGACCCCTCTGCCAGAGATTGGCTCCCTGCTTGGAATCCAGAACTCAAAGACGTTAACGCTGCCCCTCCCTCCGCCTTTGCCACTCCGGGAGCCCGGTGGGCACCTGCCACATCTCTAGTCCAGCCCAGAGCGAGTCCCGAGGGTGGGCCTGAATTCCTGAGCTTGTTCTCGTGTGCCTTTCAGGTGATGAGAATGATTTATTTGTTTGTGATGAATGTTTTGCTGAAAGATTAATAAATCATTTCTGTGCCTTTAGCAAACTTCCTGTGTTGCTCTTAAAAAGGGATCATCCACCTTCCCGGACCACAAGGTTAAGGTAACCCCGCTAGGTAACCCCGATAGGCCCGCTGCGGGGCAGAGCGACAGAGAGAGAGAGAGTGAGGGCGAGGGTGAGGTAAGCAACGCCCCGGGAAGCCGGGGGTCCCTGGCTTGCGCCTCCTCGCCAGCTCAGGCACCTTCTGAGAAAATGAATCTTTGCATTTTCTGTTCTCTCACATGGCTTTCGAGGTCTTAAATTTGAGGAGCCCAGAATCATGCCTTCCTCCTAATCCGCCAGCAGTGAAGGGTGCTTGTCTGCCAGGGCGCCTCTCCCTGGGCCCCTGGCTGGAGGTGGCTGGAGCTGGGACGGGCAGGACCTGGTGGTGGTTGGCCGCTCAGCTCTCCTCCCTCGGCTGCCCTGGCTGGACCCACCCCTGACTTTGTGGGCACTTGCAGTGTCAGGCAGGGGCTCAGAGCTCTTGCTCCTAGACTCTGAGCTCCCGGGAGGACCTGCCACACCAGCATCAGTGGCCGCTGATGTAGCCACATGACGTGGGGCTGTGAGGTGCCCCTGGAGTCAGCTGCTGTGGATGGTCCCAGGATCCTGGGGCCAGAGCCTTCAGGAAGGTGGGCTCCCTGGCTGTGCAGTGTCAGGCGGAGCCCCTGGCCGCCTGCTGAACATCCTGAGGTCAGGGGCTGCCCAGCTTCCTGTGCTGTGGTCTGTGGTGTCCCCGTGCATGTGCCGGTGGCTGGCTCGCTGAGCTTCCCCGGCTCCAGGCGCCCTGGACCTCATGGTCCTGAGCCTGACCCAGGGCTGGTCCGCCTGACTCTGCTTCTGCCTGCTCCTGGGCACTTCTTCTCCACCCGGGGGCGCTCTGTCAAAACCCAAGTTCTTTGTTGACTGCGTTGGGCGGGGCGGCCAGGAGGGCTCACCTGTCTCTACCGTCTCTGCAGGGCCCCCTGCTGCGCTGGCTCAAGGTGAACTTCAGCGAAGCCTTCATTGCCTGGATCCACATCAAGGCCCTGAGAGTGTTCGTGGAGTCCGTGCTCAGGTGCGTGGCAGCGATGCCCTGGAAGGCATGTCCTGAGGGTGGGCAGGGCCTGGGGGAGCTATCGGGGCACCCCAGCTCCTGCCTTCTCTCCACCCTCCCACCCTCTTCTTTCTGTGCCTGTGGCTTTTGGCAGCATGCTAAATTCCAAGTCAAATATACCCTCCCCTCAGCCCTGCGTCCCCTGCTGTCTGGTCCCTCCATTGCTGCCACACTGGGGGCGAGTGTCATCCGGGTTCTCCCTGGCTGCCCCACTGGCATGCCCTTGTGGACCCTCTGGCTGGCTTCTGTCCCCACCCTCGTGATGCCTGCAGGGGCCCAGTGGCTCTGGAAGGGGTTTTCGGGCTGCCTCTGTCCTCAGCCTGGAAAGCCCACCCGTCAAAGCAGCCCAGAGAGAAAACCAAACCAACAACAACAAAGCTAATGTTACCTAATATATTGAAAGTTTCACTTTTGTTGCCCAGGCTACAGCGCAATGGCACGATCTCAGCTCACGGCAACCTCCACCTTTCAGGTTCAAGTGATTCTCCTGCCTCAGCCTCCCTAGCAGATGTGATTACAGGCATGTGCCACCACGCCCGGCTAATTTTGTATTTTTAGTAGAGATGGGGTTTCTCCATGTTGGTCAGGCTGGTCTCGAACTCCTCACCTCAGGTGATCCCCCTCCCCCCCGCCCCCTTCGGCCTCCCAAAGTGCTGGGATTACAGGCATGAGCCACTGTGCTTGGCCTATTTTTTTAAATATTAGGCAGGCTGGGTGCAGTGGCTCACCCATATAATCCCAGTACTTTGGGAGGCCAAGGTCAGAAGTTCAAGACCAGCCTGGCCAGCATGGTGAACCCCGTAAATTAGCTGGTCTGGTGGTACAGGCCTGTAGTACTGGCTACTTGGGAGGCTGAGGTGGGAGGATCACTTGAGCTTAGGAGGCAGAGTTTGCAGTGAGCCAAGATCGCACCACTGCACTCCAGCCTGGGCAACGAGAGTGAAACTCCAGCTCAAAAAACAAAAAAAATTACTTCCCTGTGGGCAATCTGGCAACTCTAGGTAAGCAGAGGGAATAAAAACTCCTATAATCTTACCACCAGGAGAGAACACTGCTGAAGTGCAAGTCGGTGTCCCTCTAGGTGTAGGGTTTGTTGGTTTTTATGTACAGATGCACATAATTCTTACAGATTTTTATGACAGTGGAATCAGCCAGGAAATGCCTTTGCAGCCCGCTTTCTTGCCGTGTGACTGCCTCCCCTGTTACGGAGTGTTGCGCATCGCCTGCTGCTCTGACCTGCAGCCTCCTGGGCTCCTCCGGCCCCCAGGACCCTCTGTCTGACCTCCTGGACCCCTTCCTCGCCTGCACCGAAGAGCTCCTCACCCTTCCCTGCTGTCCCCTACTCTCCCTCGTTTTCCTGCCCATGTTTCCTGGTCTCCAGGTCCTGCCATTCATCTGCCATAGGCCTTACCTGGGTATCCGTCTCATCTCCCCTCCTGCACAGCTTCCTTTGCTTCCCTGTTTTCTGCCAGTGGCCTCCTCTTCTTTCCCCTCATCAGACCCCAAACTTCAGGGTCAGTTTGGAGTCCCCTGCCGCTACACCCGACAGGCCTGGTCCACTCCGCCTCTCTTCCACTGGTCCAGCCTCACCAGCCTGGCTGTTGCCATAAGCCTCCTGTTAGTTCTTGGCATGGGGCGGGCATTAAGGAGAATGAGGGGGACCAGCAGCCACTCCTATGGTCTTATTTTTTTGAGAAGGACTCTTGCTCTGTCCTCCAGGCTGGAGTGCAGTGGCACAATCTCGGCTCACTGCAACCTCCGCTTCCCGGGTTCAAGCAATTCTCCTGCCTCAGCCTTCCCTAGTAGCTGGGATTATAGGTGCGCACCACCACACCTGGCTAATTTTTCCATTTTTAGTAGTGACAGCGTTTCACCATGGTGGCCAGGCTGGTCTCAAACTCAGGTGATCCAGCCTGCCTTGGCCCCACAAAGTGCTGGGATAACAGGGGTGAGCCACCATGCTTGGCATGGGGCTCTGTTCTGGGCAGAACGGAGAAGGCATTATTAGCAGCAAGGGTGCCAGAGATGGGACAGGGCTGGGAGGGTCAGAAGAGCCCAGAGGCTGAGGAAGGGTCAGGGGCTAGAGAGCATGTCTGTTAGGGACCTAGGAGCACAACAGAGGCAGGCCTCTCCCTCAAGCCAGGCTGCTGAGGGAGGAGCGCTTTAAAAGGACAGTCCTCCTTCTGGGTGACAGATAACCTCCAGGGCAATTTGGTAATGACACTGGTGGAACCACGAGGTTGCAAGACAACAAAGCAGGGCAGGAAAGGGGAGCATCTGCATCCAGGCAGCAGAGTGAGGGCTAGAACTCCATCCCTTAGAATGCCGGGGCTTGGGGCCTGGGACTGGCTACTATCTGCCCTCTGGGAAAGCATTCTGGTCATCCCCCAGGGAAGGTGGAATTATTTGGTGAAGCCAAGGATGTTGTGCTTGTTTACAGCACTGGGAGTTGGGTCAGGGAGTGCAGGAGGGAAGGCGACAGGGTAAGGGGCTCTCCACTAAGTGCTGTAGCCTCTCTGCTCATTTCCCCTGGGTGACACCAGAGCTCTGAGGACCAGAGACGCACTAAAGAAATGAGGGTGACCAACTGGGCCGTTCCCCTTGCTTGTTATCTACCCAGGTGCCACAGTCCTCCCTGGTAACACCTCCAGCCTCTGTGGCACTTGGCTCTTGGGAGGTAAAGGTGGTACCACCAGGTCGGTCTTGTGCCTGGTGGGTGAGAGTGGATGTGTGTGTGCTTCCCAGCAGCCTCTTTGTGCATTCAGGCTTCCCTCACCTTTCTGAGGCCCAACGGGAAAGCCCAGGATTTCAAAACTCATGTTACCAAATGAGGATCAGGAAGGTTGGGAACCAGGGGATAATTTACGGACACTGAAAATAAAAGCTTATGGCTGGGTGCGGTGGTTCACGCCTGTAATCCCAGCACTTTGAGTGGCTGAGGTGGGTGGATCACTTAAGATCAGGAGTTTGAGATCAGCCTGACATGGAGAAACCCCACCTCTACTAAAAATACAAAAATTAGCCCGGTGTGGTGGTGGCAGGTGCTGTAATCCCAGCTACTCGGGAGGCTGAGGCAGAATTGGTTGAACCCCAGACGCAGAGGCTGCAGTGAGCCGAGATCACGTCATTGCACTAGGTCTTTCGCTTAAGTTTGACTTTACGAAGCTGTGTTGGTTGAAGCTTTTCAGCCTTGGAATGTACGTCGTCTCGTCAGGTTCCTTCTATGCGCGTTTGCATTTGTAGTAGTAACTGACACATGTTGTCTATCTGGAAAGGTATGGGCTACCAGTGAACTTCCAGGCAGTGCTCCTGCAGCCACAAAAGAAGTCATCCGCCAAACGTTTACGGGAGGTTCTAAACTCTGTCTTCCGACACCTGGATGAAGTAGCTGCTACAAGTATACTGGATGTAGGTATCTAGAAATGGTGGCTTTTTTTTTTTTTTTGAGACAGAGTTTGGCTTTTGTGGCCCAGGCTGGAGTGCAGTTGCGTGATCTTGATTCACTGCAACCTCTGCCTCCCAGGTTCAAGTGATTCTTCTGCCTCAGCCTCCTGAGTAGCTAGGATTATAGGCATGCACCACCATGCCTGGCTAAGTTTTTGTATTTTTAGTAGAGACAGGGTTTCACCATGTTGGTCAGGCTGGTCTCGAACTCCTGATCTCATGATCTGCCCGCCTTGGCCTCCCAAAGTGCTGGGACTACAGGCGTGAGCCACCATGCCTGGCCTGAAACAGCATTTCTGTATTAAGGTCAGTGTCTTATTGTAGAAAGGGAGATACTTTCAAAACACTGGTATCTGGCCAGGCACGGTTGCTCATGCCTGTAATTCCAGCACTTCACTTTCGGAGGCCAAGGTGGGTGGATCACCTGAGGTCGGGCGTTCAAGATCAGCCTGACCAACATGGAGAAACTGTCTCTACTAAGAATACAAAATTAGCCAGGTGTGCTGGCACATGCCTGTAATCCCAGCTACTCGGGAGGCCGAGGCAGGAGAATCGCTTGAACCTGGGAGGCAGAGGTTGCAGTGAGCTGAGGTAGCCCCACTGCACTCTAGCCTGGGTAATGAGTGAAACTTTGTCTCAAGCCCCTACCCCCTGCCTGCAAAAAAACTGGTATCTGCCCATAGTCCCAGCACTTTGGGAGGCAGGAGGATCACTTGAGGTCAACGGTTTGGGACCAGCCTAGCCAACATGGTGAGACCCTATCTCTACTAAAAAAAATTAGTAGTATCATATGCCTGTAATCCAAGCTACTTGGAGTCTGAGGTAGGAAAACTGCTTGAACCCAGGAGATGTAGGTTGCAGTGAGCTGAGATCATGCCACGGCATTCCAACCTGGAGAGACTCTGTCTCAAGGGAAAAAAACGGTAGTTGCCAGCCTGTTACGAACATCTACATGTCATACACCCCTTGCACAGCAAGGGCTGGGCTGGAGCGGGTGGGCCACAGCTATGCAGAGCAGAATACAGTCAGTGCCTGGAGAACTTCCTCAAAAATCAAACGGTAAGACAGGAAACTAGTTTATGCACCTAGAACACTGCCATGTCTTCTTTTCTAGGCATCTGTGGAGATCCCGGGACTGCAACTCAGTAATCAAGACTATTTTCCTTATGTCTACTTCCATATCGACCTTAGTCTTCTTGACTAGAAAGGCCAGCTGGCACCTGTCTCATGTTCGTGCAGACTGTTACAGCCACCTCTTTCCTTTAGCCAGAGAATGCCTCACATGTCTTATAGAACTAAGATTTTTTTCAGAGAAATTGCTCACAAAAGTTAGTGACAGTTGTATTTATTTTTTTTTAAGTTACAATAAAATGCTCTCAAGTCCTTTGAATGTTCTAACAAATTCAAAATTTCATTTTTCTGAATGTTTTACATAAATGATATACCTATAAATTGGTAACCTGCTGCTGTATTTCACGTCTTAATGGCTATTTTAAGGTTCATAACAACATAGAAAGCCTTGAACTGTATAACCAGCTAGATTCCCTAGTAATGATAATCACTAGAGATGGCCCAAAGACAGAACAGTGGGCAGGAAATTGCAGTTCTCACTGGGCCCAGGTTCCACGCTGTGGTAGGCATCGATGGCACCATCTGAACCAAAGGTCTTGTTTTTTGTTTAAAAAAGTTGATGGGGAGGAAAGACATCAGTGTATCACTTCAAAATAGTAATTTACTGCTAACCATCTCTTAATTTAGCCTATGGATACTAATTTCATACATTTATTGGCATTGTCCAAAATATTTTATTCTTTAATGGAAAAAGCCATTAATAATCAAATGAAGGAATCACATTAAAAAACCTACACATAAGAAACAGCCTCCAAGAACATTCAAGCAGCAGTCAGAGAGAGGAAAAATGTTTCGACAGCCGAGTACTCTTCAAAATATTGTGTGACAGAATACGATACAATTCACCGGCTATAACAATTCATAGAATTTTTCAATGTTTTCTTGGGATGCAAAAGTTCACTGTTGCAGTGTTTTCAAATGACCAATCAAGTACTACTTCTTGGTTTAAAAGGCCACTGGTAGAGTCATCTGATTGTAGAGAATGTTCCTTCACTGCTGGAAAAAAACCGCTGGCTCCCAAGAAAAGAAAATGGTCTGAAGCCTCTGCTGAGGCTCTCACAACTCATCTTTCCCTAAGTCATCGAGCTCCACATCACTGAGGTCAATGTCATCCTCCACGGGAAGCTGGGAGACAGAAATCCATGGTTAGATCTGCAGAAGGGGACACCCTGGAAGGCCAACATCTCATTTTACAGAAGAGCAACTCTCTAGACCTACTCCTCTTACAAACCAGGTTCTCCTCCGGCTGGCTCCTGCCTTGACCTTCGTACCTATGATTATGTGGATAGAAAAGCTAAGAACTTGGATAAAACATTGCAACAGCATCACTCACCACTTTAACACTGAAAGCCATTGAACTTGTACTTTTGAGGAGGGTGGGACACAACAGTACAGAAATAAGTGCTAGTTTCAAAGCTATAATTTTGCATTTTTCTAAGATAAAGTAAATGAATTCCAGGTTAAATGGTTGCTTTGAGGGTAATAACCGGGAAAGCAACCTTACTGCTGAAATGTATCTTGGCTGTCTGTCAAGAATATCAAATGCCATGCAGCACTTAAACTTGTGATAAGGAAGATGAAGGGTCCTCAGAGAAGAACCTCTTAAATGGCCCACGGGTACACCAAAGGGGAGGTCTGATGGAAAGGACTTGACTCCAGGTGCAGAGATGCACAGGCTCGAGAGTAAACCAGGGCTGTTGCCCGCACAGCCTCTCTCCCACGCACTCACCTCGCCATCCCTGCCATCCCAAGGCTCTTTCTCAACGATGCTAGGGAAAGCCCCGCCTCCTACAGGTGCCGTGGAGCCACGCCCAAAAGAGAGCTCCCTTAGGGAAAAATAACCAGAATACACACACATTTACAATGGACTGCTGGTGCAGAACAAACATTTAAAAATAACAGCCTGCCTACTCTGTTTATGTAGAGGCATTTCTTGCCTCTTGCACAGCTTGAGAACAACATCTTTTGAATCATGGACAACATTACAGCCAGATTAAACATCCCGACTAAGCCCTCTGCATCAGATAAAGTCAGTTGCTACCAACAAGTTTTTAAAAACAGCAGAGTAAGGCTGGGAGCGGTGGCTCACGCCAGTAATCCCAGCACTTTGGGAGGCCGAGGTGGGTGAATCACGAGGTCGAGAGATCGAGACCATCCTGGCCAACATGGTGAAACCCAGTCTCTACTAAAAATACAAAAATTAGCTGGGCGCGGTGGTATGCACCTGTAGTCCCAGCTATTTGGGAGGTTGAGGCAGGAGAGTTGCCTGAACCCAGGAGGCAGAGGTTGCAGTGAGCCGAGATTGTAGCACTGCACTCCAGTCTGCTGACAGAGACTCCATCTCAAAAATAAATAAAAAGCGTATTTGCTGAAAAATGAATTAAGTACATAAATAATTATCAAAGTTGATCTAGAACATGTGCTGCCTGTGAGTTTCTTCTAAGACTGCTGTGAACCTGTACAGAGTGAGTGCGTCAGCAGTGAGACGATGGTTCCAGCGGGCTGGGAGGGAGCAGTTTGCGTATGTGCGTTAACATCAGTAATTGAAAACACCAGAGCTGGTATAATGTGGCTGTTGGGAAACCAAAGCTAGAAATACTGTAGGCACAAATATTTAGAGTGCACCAAACAACTCAGAATAATGGAGCTAGACTAACAATCTAACGTGCTGGCACCAGTGGGCTAAAATAAGCAAGCCTAGTATTAGAAAAAAATATTAGATATATTTAATAATTCTGATTTCATGATTTAATAAATCACTACTCTGTGACAATCAGAAACTTAAGCAGTCCACAAACTTCTTTTTCCCTTCTGAGACCAAGTTGTGCTCCGTTGCCCAAGGTGGAGTGCCAGTGGCGTCACTTCAACCTCCTGGGTTCAAGTGATTCTTGTGCCTCAGCCTCTCTAGTAGCCGGGATTGCAGGCACACGCCACCACCCCTGGCTTATTTTTTATATTTTTAGTAGGGATGAGGTTTTACCGTGTTGGCCAGGCTGGTCTCAAACTCCTGGCCTCAAGTGATCCGCTTGCCTCAGCCTCCCAAAGTGTTGGAATTACAGGCATGAGCCACTGTGCCCGACCCCACAAACTTCTTTATGAAAACACCCCCATAATCATATTAACGAACTATGAGAGAAAGCTGAGAGGGAAGGAGCCAGGGTCTGTCCCCAGGCACGAGCTAAAGAAGCTGACCTCACAGGAGTTCTTCCCACTTCACTACTGGAGGCAGAGCTGTGACTGAGGTGCCTGACTCTGGAGCCCCAGTCTCTACACAGCGCGTGCGCGCGCGCACGCACACACGCACACGCACACACACACACACACACACACACTCTTCTGCATCAATTGGAAGACTGGCAGCAAGAACACTGCACACTTTCACACACTATTCTTCGTATCCATTATTCATCATAAGCCCCTGAACTGCCTTTTGTGTGCTGAATATCTCTTTTTATACAGCAACTAAGAAATGAACACAGACGACAGCAGAAATGGCAAAGAAAACCTCATTAGGTCAATGCCTTGTAATGCCTAAAAGATGATGAGGTAAGCTGAACAGTAGAGCAGGATGGAGAGCCCTGTACACTGGTTTTAGAGTCTGAGAACCTATCATGTTTGCACTGCTGCAGTAACTTAAGTACACCCATTTTCAAATAAATAACTACATTCCAAAGCCAAGTGTCCTGAAATGAAAACCACATTCATGCCTTTAGCCCATGAGACCTTTATGAGAATAAGAAAGAGCCCACGGACAGATGTACAGAAGGGCACACAGAGTGGCCTGAGGGCAGAAATGCATTCTCCTCATCCAGCAAGCAGAGTATTCCATGGAAAAAGAATGAACAGGGAGATAATTTAAAAACTCTAATTCATAAACAATTCTCTGGAATTAGTCTGCATTTGAAATTCCATTTATTATATTTATATATACCTGGTTTCAAATAAAAATCCATGACAGAACCAAAGAGATGAAACAAACAACGTAAGAAAACAAATTACCTGAGAAATTCATTAATGCCCTGCTCACTGAAGGAGCCTTTTAGCAGCGCAAATTTCATCTTGCGTGCATTGATGGCGGCCATGGCAGGGTACCCAAACCCTCCAATCCCCAGTGCGGTCTCAAGTTCAGACTGGGCTCCAGCTTCTGTCCACAGCCACCTAGAAAACCAGACTGGTGTTTAGGGCAAATATGTCTTTTAAATTGCTTACAATCCAACTAGAAGAACTTAGAGAACAAAAGATCATGCTTCAGATATTTCATGGAATGAGAAATAAATAAAAAACAAAAAGTGAGTTTCTACATGGATTTTCCCTTTTTACCTAAAATGCCACCAATATCATTTGGGTTATTAATCATGCTCCTGTGTTCTGCAGGCATCTAATAAACATTTGCTGAACTAATGGAGGAGGAGCAAGGTCACGGAGAGAGGGACAGCAGGGGGCGCTAAGTATGTGGGGAAAGCAATAGATACTGAAGAAGCAAAAAGATAAATAGGAAGGAGAAAGACTGTTTTGAAAATGTGCCTAGATCCAGTCCTTGCTCAGGTAAGGAAACATGCTTCTATTTCATCTTTCTCATCCAGCCTTCAAGCTCATATTGGAATTCAGCTGCACTACTCATTGTGTGTGTGCTTGCTAATTGGGGACCCCAATCACCATTGAAAACAGGATTCCTATGAGAAAAATGCACTGTGCTGGCAGCCCTGCATCCTTCTTTTCCTCCCAGTGATATTTTCATATCCTGAATAAATACATATAGCAGAGCAGGCTGGGTACGGTGGCTCATACCTGTAATCCCAGGACTTTGGGAGGTGGAGGCAGGTGAATCACTAGAGGTCAGGAGTTTTGAGACCAGCCTAGCCAACATGGTGACATCCAATGTCTACTAAAAATACAAAAATGAGCTGGGTGTGGTGGCGGGGGCCTGTAATCCCAGCTACTTGGGAGGCTGAGGCAGGAGAATTAATTGAACCCAGGAGGTGGAGGCTGTAGTAAGCTGAGACTGCACCACTGCATTCCAGCCTGGGCAACAGAGTGAGACTCCGTCTCAAAAAACCAACCAACCAACCAACCAACCAACCAACCAACCAACACCACAGAGCAGAGGAAACACAGCCTACAGCAACACAAGCGAATCACTCTCAGGAAGCTCCATTCCCTGTTCAGATGACCCTGAGAAAATAAGCTCCGTAACTTACCCCCACATTTTCTTTTTGTATTTGTCTGCCAACTTCAGAAGAACTTCCAGATAAGAATTTCTACCTGCAGCTCCTAATTTAAACAAAGGTTTTTAAAGGTAAAGATAAAGGAGTCCATAAAATTAACCTATTTAGGAAGTATTCTGAGAGCCTTTAGCATAGAACAGCTAAGGGGAAATCGTTTCTGTCTGTCTTACCAGTATCAAGGATATGGGGCAGCACAGCCACAACACACAGCTGGTGCTCCTCACACGTCCTCTTGGCAATGTCCTCGTTGATAATCTGTGGGACCCAGAAGACAAGGGATGGTCAGGAGGCTGCATGATACAACACCCAAAGGCAAGCTGGCAAACAAGAACTTCACAGTTGCTTTCATGTAAAAGACAGATTTCTCCCATGACTACTTCCTTGTATGGGAATACCCAGAGGCACGTTCTGTAAGAGGAGATTTCTGATTCTTAAGCCTGCGGAACCTGTGGTGGTGGTGAGGGAATAGCACACATACATGTCTCTGAAATCACAATGCCTGGACACAGCCTGGCTCTGCCACTTACTTGTTTAAATAAATTACACTTACATGTATTATATGTTTATACAAACTTGAGGCCCTGTGCCTCGATTTCCCCATATGTAAAATGGAGATAAAAACACTACCTCTCAGTGTTCATGTGAGAATTAAAATTTAAAAACCTACGTAAGAACACCAGAACAGTGCCGGTAACATGATGAGGTACTCAGTAAATGTGCGATTTTGAGAATGATAAGCAAGAGTGATTGAACACACTTAAGAAGCTTGTATTTCTGTTCATGGTATAATTATTCTAATGCTAAAAGTTATGAAAAGCAATATATCAGATTTTTTTCCCCATTTCTAAGTATATACACCACTTTAAAGAGTATTTTTAACAAGAAGGAAAGGGCAGAACATGGACAGTGTCACGACTGCTTTAACCTTCTTCACTAGCAGCTGAAAAGCTTCCTGCACTACAAGCAGTTGAAGCGGTTTACCTCAAGCAGCTCAGGAGGTGGGGCGTTATCAGAAAACAAATCAAGGGCCCGGGACACTATGTCAGATCTTGTCCGCCCACCGTCATAATCCACAGGAGACTCGCCTTTCTGAAATATCTTGATTGTAGGAAATCCTCTAATCTATTAAAAAAAAAAATCAGAGGACAAAATCCAATTAACATTTAACACAAAATAACAACCTTTACGGTTTCTAAAACCTCCTTACAGGTAATTCTTTTTAGGTGGAGTCTCACTCTGTGGGAGACCCCAGCTGGAGTGCAGTGGCATGATCTCAGCTCACTGCAACCTTTGCCTCCTGGGTTCAAGTGAGTCCCCTACCTCAGCCTCCCGAGCAGCTGGGACTACAGGCGCATACCACCACATCCGGCTAATATCTATATTTTGTTGGCCAGGCTGGTCTTAAACTCCCGCCTCCACCTCCCAAAGTGCTGAGATTACAGGCATGAGCCACCACTCCTGGCCTTTATAATTTAATGTAACAAAACTGTTCCCCAGACTGCATGGATTTCAAAGGAATGACTCACAGAAGTCAATGATCAATCAGGGAGATTTAACAGTCTGACTGTGAAGTTTAGCCCAATCATATTCAAGCCCTGGCATATAATTAACACAAAGTATCTATTCTAGAACAAATGGAGCACTTACAACAGCCATATGAGCAACCTGAATAAGCCTGAGCAAGCTGAAACCTCATTTTAAGTACATAGTAGAAGCAGTGTGACATTAAGGGAAAGAAATCGACAGTCCTGAGTTTCAGACTGTTAGTTATGACAACAGAGTGACTTTAACTTTTCATTCACGAAATGGCTTAAACATCTCCCTTCCTATCTCATAGGGACGCCTGGAGTACTGGAAGAAGTAAAGAAATACCACGTATTTCACAATGAAATGAGCCTTATAAATATACTCACCCCATACCGGGAGGCTAGAACCTGATTGACTGTAGCGTCCACAGCTGCCAGTTTCACTTTTCCTTTTGTTTGCTCTTTTACTTCTGAAGCTGCAGCAGCCCACTCTGGCTCTAGGCTATAGAAAAATACTGGTTTTGTTTTTTTGAGACACAGTCCCTCTCTGTTGCCCAGGCTGGAGTGGAGTGGTGCAATCATGGCTCCCTGCAGCCTCAACCTCCTGGGCTCAAGAGATCTTCCC